TTTTTTTTTTTTTTTTTTGGTTTTGAAGTAGTTATTTTAGATTTTAATAATTACATCTATATATGTATCTTCTTCTCCCCCTAATCTCTTCATTTGGGGGTCGAGGCGTCTCGTGAACCTTCATCATTTAAATCTAACGTTCACCACACTGAGATCTACTTGACTACTGTCCCTAATCTTTTCATTTGTGGGTCGGGGCGTCTCGTGAATCTTCATAATTTAAATCTAACGTTCACCACACTGAGATCTACTTGACTACTGTCCCTAATCTCTTCATTTGTGGGTCAGGGCGTCTCGTGAACCTTCATAATTTAAATCTACTTGACTACTGTCCCTAATTTCTTCATTTAGACCGTATATACTTTCGTTACTATCAGTTGTCAAGGTTCAAAGTAGACCGTATATACTTTCGTTAGTATCAGTTGTCAAGGTTCAAAGTAGACCGTATATACTTTCGTTAGTATCAGTTGTCAAGGTTCAAAGTAGACCGTATATACTTTTGTTAGTATCAGTTGTCAAGGTTAAAAATAGGCTGTACATACCGTAATCAAAATTATGAACATGATGATCGTTAAGATTAAGTTGAATACCATTGTATATTTTTGAAGTTAAAAGATTTTTTAACTAAGCGTTGTAAAGAACAAGGTATTAGCACACAAAGCTAAAATAATTCCTTGCAACTTAAACAGTTTGAGCGCAAGGCATTATCCAATGAGAAACTTGGAAAAATCTCTTAAGATGTATATTATTGCACAGTTGTTTTTTACTTTTTTATGTGTATGTATATCTACGAGTGTGTGTTCATAACGAAAAATATGAAACTCGTATGTTTCATATTCGGGATCTTTTCTGGTTATTGTAATTTGTAAGATTATAGTGGGATTTGGAGAATAGAGCTAATATCTGGGCTTAGCGAATAGGTCTGTTAAATAGGAACTTCTCTGTTCAGTTTTTCACTCCGTAATAGGTATCGTATATTCTGATATTATTCAGTGATCGAACTGATTAGCTACGACGACGATAGCGCCCTCCCCTTCCGGAGCACGATAGTGTTTTGTTCACTACGATCGTGGACTCTAGTGGAAGTGCCACTGATGTTGACGGCTTACAAATTAGACCTCTCTAGCTGACATCAGAAGTGCATGTGGTATGTACTTCTATTGATTCGGCATCTCTGCATTTATTCGTATCTTTGCTTCTCGAGCCATAACTCTTGTTGAATATCATATGTACTAAGTCGTCTTATTTATAATAACATTTGTTGAACGTGGAAGTTTTATTAAGCGTACTGCGACAGTTAAGTATTAAAAACTAGTATTCTTTGTACAGTCATGGCCGAGTTAACAGAAACGTGGAACCTTGACGACTCTTATCTAAACTTAACGAGCTTTGATGACTTTGAAAGTAATAAAACCAACGAGACCAAAACGTTACCAGATTACTTGACTTTTAATGCAGACAGCGTGAGAGAAATTGTCGTCTACAGCATTCTGTTTGTCGTAGCAGCGACCGGCAACCTCCCGGTCTTCATCAGCTTGCTCAGGAATCGTCAGAGGAAGTCCCCCGTGAAACTTATGATGTTAAACTTGGCTGTGGCGGATCTCATTGTTACCTTTGTCATGATCCCCCTCGAAATTTCGTGGCGTGTCACGGTGGAGTGGATAGCGGGAACTATTGGCTGCAAGATTATGCTGTTTCTACGAGCATTCGGACCTTATCTTTCCTCTATGGTACTTGTGTGTATCAGTTTTGACAGATATTTTGCCATTGTCCACCCTCTTAAACTTAACGATGCCAAGCAGAGAAGCAAAATCATGTTAATATGTGCTTGGGTTATCAGTGTAATCTGTGCTGTACCACAAGTAGGTTCACTGTTGTAGATAATAGTAGTACGTTGTTATCATTGAATGTTCAACTTAAGAACTGTACGTTGTTATCATTGAATGTTCAGGTTACGAGATGTACGTTGTTATCATTGAATGTTCAACTTAAGAACTGTACGTTGTTATCATTGAATGTTCAACTTAAGAACTGTACGTTGTTATCATTGAATGTTCAACTTAAGAACTGTACGTTGTTATCATTGAATGTTCAACTTAAGAACTGTACGTTGTTATCATTGAATGTTCAACTTAAGAACTGTACGTTGTTATCATTGAATGTTCAATTAAGAACTGTACGTTGTTATCATTGAATGTTCAACTTAAGAACTGTACGTCGTTATCATTGAATATTCAGATTAAGAACTGTACGTCGTTATCATTGAATGTTCAGGTTAAGAGCTGTACGTCGTTATCATTGAATGTTCAGGTTAAGAGCTGTACGTTGTTATCATTGAATGTTCAACTTAAGAGCTGTACGTTGTTATCATTGAATGTTCAACTTAAGAACTGTACGTTGTTATCATTGAATGTTCAACTTAAGAACTGTACGTTGTTATCATTGAATGTTCAGGTTAAGAACTGTACGTTGTTATCATTGAATGTTCAGGTTAA